TCAATCCTGGCTGCGCATTAGAATCACCTGAGGATTTTTTAGAACAATACTATGCCTAACCCCAAGAGATGCTGATTAAATTGGCTTGGGGTGGGGCACAGTCTTCTTATGTTCTAAACATTCCCTAGGTGGTTCTAATATGCAACTAAGGATGAGAACCACTGTTCTAAATGAAGTGAAAAACCTGAAGCTTTTGGGTTCTTTAAAAACAAAGGGGTACCTAGCTGGTGTGGCTCAGTGGATTTGTCCTATGGCCTGAGAGGTCTCGGTTCAATTCCTGATGGGAGCAATTGCCCAGTTTTCAGACTCAGTCCCCAGTGGGGGGCACAGGGGAGGCAGTCAATTGATGTTTTCTCTCACATCAATGTTTCTGTCTCTCCCTTCCCCTCTCTCTAAAAAAATCAATAAAAACATATTTATATAAATAAAAACAAAGGTGCCTTTTTTTTTGTTTTTAATCCTCACTCAAGGACATTTTTCTGCATTTATCTTCAGATAGAGCAGGAGGGGAAGAGAGAGAGAGAAAGAGAGAGAGAGAGAGAAACATTGACGTGAGAGAGACACATCAACTGATTGCCACCCACATGACCCCAACCAGGGCTGGGGACGAATCACAGCCGAGGTACGCGCCCTTAGTGGGAACCAAACCCGGGACTCTCTGGTCCGCGAGCTGACACTCTAACCACTGAGCCAAACTGGCCAGGGCAAACAAAGGTGGCTTTAAAAAAAATATATGTTTTTATTGATTTTAGAGAGAGAGAGAGAGGAAGGGAGAGAGGAAGGGAGAGGACCATCATTCAGCAGCCTCCTGCATGCCCCCCTACCAGGGATTGAGCCTGCAACCCTGGCATGTGCCCTGACCAGGAATCAAATTGGCAACCTCTGGGTGCATGGGACATTGCTCAACCACTGAGCCACACCAGCCAGGGCTAAAAACAAAGGTCGCTTTTGATAATAGGGCATAAAAGATACACATAGAGGATAGTATATTCCAAACTATTTGATTATATACCCCATCAGTAAAATATTTTAAACGCCTTCCCAATATATGTATATTTATTTTTATGTAAATTATATAACCCAATGCATAAAATTAAAAAATGGTATTTAGTAAAATAAAAACTATTTTAGAAATATTGTTCATATACTTTTACTTCTTTCTATTGAGAGCAATGAGACAATAGACTTTATTCTTCTTAAATATCTTATAAAACAGTAATTTGAAGATCTAGTTGTAAGTTTCATTTCTATGCTTGATTTAATGGATATTATAGTTTAAAAATGTAATTCAGAAAAAGTTCCATGAGTCCTTTCAGTCCTGATGGTAAAAGATGTTAATCATAACTATATTAGCTATCTATTGCCATATAGCAATAATAACATGAACTTAGTGGCTTACACCAACACACACTTATTATCTTGGCACCTCAGGGAATCAGGAATCTGGCTGTGGTTTAACTGGATCCTCTGCTTCATGGTTTCCCAAAGTTATAATCAGCTAGTTTACCAAGACTGCCATCTCATCTGATGCGGGACTGGGTAAGAATCTGCTCTCAAGCTCACCTGGTTGTTGGCAGTATTCAGTTCCTTACAGGCTACTAGATTGAGGGCCTCTCTTTCTTGCTGGCTGTCAACAAGAGGCCAGCCCTCTGCAAGGTGTCCTTCTTTAAATGGCAGCTTTTTCCTTCCGATCTAGAAAAGGAGAGAGAGATTCTCCTAGCAAGACAGTTAAATCTTATGTAATATAATCACACACAGATAACCATATACATATAATCACCTTTGCTGTATTCTTTTGTTTAGAATCAAGTCACAAGTCTCACACATTCAAAGGGAAGGGGCCACATAAAGTAGTGAACACCAGGAGGCAGGGATCATGAAGACCACCCTAGAGTCTGTCCACCACACGAATTAAATATCGAAATACATAAATGAACGAGGGAATAGGGAAAGCTATTTTTCATAGTAATAGGACAACTATAAAATGTAGAGAGAATGATAGTCAGGAAATCACTATTTTCAACTATCATGGCAATAGACGATATACATAAGAAAAATCAATGGATGCTAAAACCAGTAAGTAAAATATATTGGAGAACAGAATATTTATGTAATTTCAAAGTTTCTCTTCATAGATTTTGCTTCCAACCATAATTTACCCTTCAGCATAAAACATCTAAAAGTTTGGCCCTGGCTGGTTTGGCTCGGCGGTTAGAGCATCGGCCTGCAGTTCAGAGAGACCCAGGTTCGGTTCCTGCTAAGGGCGTGTACCTGGGTTGCAGTTTGTCCCCAGCCCTGGTTGGTCGTGCAGGTGGCAACCACTCGATGTGTCCCTTTCACGTCGATGTTTCTCTCTCTCTCTCTTTCTCTCTGTCTCTCCCACTCTATCTGAACAAAAAGTGGAAAAATGTCCTTGGGTGAGGATAAAAAAAAAAAAAATCTAAAAGTTTGGACAAAATATTTGAAACAATGCTTTTCAGATATTGGAAACCAGGCAGAACAAGAGAGAGTGATCCTTGAGAGAATGGAAACAAATGAGGTGAGCCCTGTAACTGCCCCAGCATACTGCATGGAGAAAATTGCCTGCCACAGTTCAAGGAGGGAGAACTCTAAGTCCAGCATTCTTTGAGTTCAGGAGACAATGTTAAAAACTTAAGGAGGCCAAAGTTGATAGAATTTACAGGGTAAAGTATCAGGGGAGAGAACAACACAGAGAAGAGCGCTTTGGAAATCTTTTTTTTTTTTTTAATTTATTTTTTTCCCTTATTGATTTTAGAGAGAGAGGAAGGGAGAGGGAGAGAGAGATAGAAACATCGATGAGAGAGAACATTGATTGGCTGCCTCCTGCATGCCCCCCACTGGGGATATGGCCCACACCTGGGCATGTGCCCTGACCGAGAATCGAACTGGCAACCTCTTGGTGCATGGTTGGATACTCAACCGCTGAGCCACACCGGCCAGGCTGGAAATCTTTTTTTTTTAAATCAACTTTTTAAAACTTATTTATTTTTGTTACAGATGTTTCTTTTTTTCCCCCCGCCATTGACACCCTCCTCCCAAAACCCTCTTTCCCCCCAGCTTTGGAAATCTTTAGAAGATTCCCCTCACATCTTTATCTGGATACTGATCAGTACATGTGTGTAAGAAAACTACCCAAGTCTTGAGAAGGTAGGTGGAAAAATCCTGGCCTCATGCAGGCTGGAAATATTTCATGTTCCCAGGAACCAGAGTAGGTCATCAGGTAGAGTAATGCTTCAGTTGTGTAGCAAAATTATCGCTAGACTAAAAGCTGTTCTGGTCCCACCTAATACATATTGAAAGTAAGCCTTGAAAGAACCAAACTGTTTTTTTGGAATAAAGCTCAGGAATATTATAGAAATACAAAAATATCCAGTACCCAACAACTGACAAAGGAGAAAAATCAACCAGTAGACAATAAATCTATAAATGACACAGATAATAGAATTAATAGACAAGGACATTAAAATTATTTTAACTGTCCAGCCGGTTTGGCTCAGTGGTTGAGCATCGACCCATGTACCAAGAGGTTGCTGGTTCGATTCCTGGTCAGGGCATATGCCCAGTTTGTGGGCCCAATCCTCAGTGGGGGCATGCAGGAGGTGGCCAATCAATGTTCCTTCTCATCTATGTTTCTATCTCTCTCTCCCTCTCATTTCCTTTCTAAAATGAATAATGAAAGAAATAAAATAAAAAAATAAATTATTTTAATTAACATCAAAATCACAACTAAACTTCAGAACAAATATCCTTCAGAACTGCCTGAAATCAAGCTGAATGGAAGTCCTACAACTACGAAATTAAAGAAAAAGCCACATCCAGATTGGCAGGAGGGGTGGAGGGGCAGAGGTGCGGATGGGCTGGTCCCACACCCACGTGTGGTGCATGAAATTCAGAAGGATACCTCAGCTGTGAAGGTCCTCCCTGAGAAGCAAGAGGTCCCATCCCACGCCAGGCACCCAGCTTAGGGTTCCAGTGCCAGGAAGAGAAGTCCCTATAACTTCTGGTTGTAAAAACCAGCGGGAAATGAGTCTGAGGGAGATTGAGGTTGCTAGAGCCACAGGCAGTTCCTCTTAAAGGGCCTGCGCACAGACTTACTCGGACCTGCTTCCTCTGAGCTCCAGCACAAAGTGGAGGCAGTTTGAAAGGCATCAGAGACATACGAGGAAGAACTGAGTTGTTTGGCATTGGGTTGAGAGCTGGAGGGACAGCTTTCTCCCACACAGATGTGCTGGCAGACCATTGTTCTTTGATGAGCCCTTCCCTCTCCAGGCCGGCAGATGGTAGCCATATCTAGAACTCCAGCAACCTGGCTCACACTGTTTGCCCTGCCCTGGTGATTACTTGAGGTCCTGCCCCACCCAACTTTCAGGCCCAACCTAGCTGTTTCCAGTGGCTTCACCATAAGATTGGCCTATTTTGGCTCCTGCTTCAAATTTTCCTAAACTCTCTCAAAAAAGAAGCAGCTGGCCACAGCAAGCCCCATACCTCTGGCTAAGTGGCCCCAGGCCTAGCACTAGAAGCAGCCAGTCTTGGTTCATAGCTTGGCTTTTCCCGGGCACCTCTAAGCCCAGCATAAGAGCAGCCATCAGCAGATCCCTTTGTAGATTATGCCTGGTGGCCCCGGGTAGAACACAGGCCGTGGCTGACCTTGTCCCAGAGCCAGCAAACCCAGTGGACAGCTTCAGACCACATCGAAACACCGCCCAACCACCTCCACAAGTGACACACTCAAGCAATGGACTCAGTGGATACCAGAACTCTGCTGAAGTAAGTCTTGCTCTGTGTGGTGGGCCCCTACACAGCTGATCCTCCAAGGTAGTCAGAGGTCAGTTGGCAGTGGGCACAGCCAGTCCCTCCAGCTGAGTTAGCCTGAATAAACCTCCCACTGATGTGCCAACAGCAATCAAGATTCAATTACAGAGCCCGGTCGCGCCCCATGCCCCGCTGCCGCCACCGCCACCGCCACCGCCACCGCCACCATGGGCTGTCTCGGAAACAGTAAGACCAAGGACCAGCGCAATGAGAAGAAGGCGCAGCGCGAGGCCAACAAAAAGATCGAGAAGCAGCTTCAGAAGGGCAAGCAGGTCTACCGGGCCACGCACCGCCTGCTGCTGCTGGGTGCTGGAGAGTCTGGTAAAAGCACCATTGTGAAGCAGATGAGGATCCTGCATGTTAATGGGTTTAATGGAGAGGGTGGCGAAGAGGACCCGCAGACTGCCAGGAGCAACAGCGATGGAGTATATTATCCCTAGATGGTGGTTCCCGTTCTCTTCCCGTTTCTCTCCTTCCTGGCCATGTCCCGTCACCCTTTGCATGCTGGGATTGCCCTTCTTGGGAACTTCTAATAAGAATACTATTCTGTTGGGGGGGAGGGGGAGGGGGAGGAGGGGAGGCCCTACCACCTAACCTAAAGATAACTGAAAAAAACAACAACACAAAATTAAAAACAACAAAACCAAAAAAAATCCCCCCAAACCACAATTGAAATAAAATCCTTAATTGTTCCAAATGTAGTGTGACATCCCAAATAGGCATCTGTGTAACAAGTGACTGTCAGTGTACTGTACCAAAAGTTGGCATTGAGTAGTGACCAGTCCTTACTGAACAACTGTGTGTGAGATGCTAGCCTGACCCCCTCCCCTACTAACACCTGCCTGTTCCTCTGACCGCAGTAATTCAAGCATTAACGTGTGATAAATAAAACTACTCTGCATGTCTCAGCAAAAAAAAAAGATTCAATTACAACAGAAGGGTGCAAAGTCCACATGAGAGGTTTACCTCGAAGGCCTAGCTGGGTGACCAGGGAGGCTGTGCCAGTGGATCCTACAGGACACCTACTACAACAGGCCCACCCTAGGAAGCCTAGGAGATACAGCAACTCTGCCTAATACATAGAAACACACACAGGGAGACAGCCAAAATGAGGAGACAAAGAAACATGTCCCAAATGAAAGAGCAGAAAAAAAAAAAAACTCCAGGAAAAGAACTCAATGAAATGGAGATAGCAATCTAACAGATACAGAGTTCAAAATACTGCTTATAAGGACACTCAATGAACTTAGTGAGAATTTCAAGGAACTTAAGGAGAACATCAAGGAACTTAGTGAGGACTTCAAGAGAATAATAAAGTACTAGTTAGAAATGGAGGATGCAGCCCAGCTGCTGTGGCTCAGTAGTTGAGCATTAACCCATGCACTAAGAAGTCGCTGGTTCGATTCCCAGCACATGCCCAGGTTGTGGGCCAAATCCCCAGTCAGGGGGCATACTGGAGGCAGCCAATCGATGTTCTCTCTCATCGATGTTTCTATCTTTTTCTTTCTCTCCCTTCCTCTCTCTCTGAAGATCAATAAAGAAAAATAAATGGAGGATGTACTAACTGAAATAAAGAATAATTTATAGGGAATCAATAGAATAGGTGAAGTAGAGTAGGTGAAGCCAAGAAACAAACCATCAATGTGAAATATAAGGAAGCAAAAAATACCCAATCAGAACAGCAAAAAGAAAAAAGAATCCAAAAAATGAGGATAGTATAAGGAGCTTCTGGGACAACTTCAAGCATACCAACATTTGCATCATGATAGTGCCAGAAGGAGAAGAGCGAAGCAAGAAATTGAAAACCCATTTGAAAACAAATAATGACAGCCCTGGCCTGTTTGGCTCAGTGGTTAAAGCATCAGCCTGCGGTCCGGAGAGGCCTGGGTTCAGTTCCCGCTAGGGGCATGTAACTCGGTTGCAGTGTGTCCCCGGCCCTGGTTGGGTCGTGTGGGTGGCAACCACTTGATGTGTCCCTTTCACGTCAATGTTTCTCTCTCCCTCCCTCCCACTCTATCTGAACAAAATATCGAAAAATGTCTTCGGGTGAGAATAAAAAAAATAGGATAAAAAAATAAAAAACAAAATAATGACAGAAGACTTTTCTAGCTTGGTGAAGGAAACAGATATACAATTCCAGGAAGCACAGAGTCCCAAACAAGATGAACCCAAAGAGGTCCACACTAAGGCACATCATCATCAAAATGCAAAAGGTTAAAGACAAAGAGAAAATCTTAAAAGCAGTAACAGAAAAGCAGTTAGTTACCTACAATGGAGCTCACATAAGGCTGTCAGCCGATTTTTCAAAATAAATTTTGCAGGCCAGAAGGGAGTGGCAAGAAATATTTAAAGCGATAAAAATCAAGAACCTACAACCAAGATTACTCTATCATGCAAAGCTATCATTTAGAATCAATGGCCATATAGAGTTTCTCAGAGAAGAATAAGCTAAAGGAGTTCATCACCACCAAACCAGCATTATATGAAATGTTGACAGGTCTTCTTGAAGAAGATGAAGATAAAAAAAATATGAACAATAAAATGGCAATAAATACATATCAACAATGGAATCTACAAACAAAATAAGCAAGCAGAAGAGAAACAGACTCATAGATACAGATAAGTTTTTGTTGGTTGCCAGATGAGACAGGGTTGGATGAAAAAGATAAAGGGATTAAGAAGTACAAATTGGTTGTTAGACTGAGGAACCTCAAAGGGAAGGAGGGAGGGAGGGCAGGATGAGATAAACCAAAGAACTTATATGCATATTTGCATAACCAATAGACACAGACAATAGTGTGGGGAAGGCAGGAGGGGATTCGAAGTGGGGAGAAGGGGTTAAGGGGGGAAAAAAGAGGGGACATCTGTAATACATTTAAAAATAAAGATAAGTTTAAAAAAATTATTGTAACTATATTTCATATGTTCAAAAAGGTAGAAAGAAGCATGCATGAGCATGTTAAACAGAAACATGACAGATAAAAGAAAAAGTCCCAAATAAAGTTTCTGGAGGCAAAAAAAGAGAGAATGAAATGCACAATACATTGGATAGGAATAACAGCAGATTAGATACTACAGATCAATTATCCTGAAGATCAATTAGCTATAGTAACAAGCCAAATGAAATATATCAAGAAAAATTACTATAAAAATAGTGGCCAGAAGCATAAGTTGGAGCTCACAAGAATGGACTGAAACCCTTGTTAGTTAATTCATCATCTCTGAACTTGATGCATGTGTATCCTGCAGAATCTTTGAACAATAATATCAACAAACTTGACCTAATTGCCATTTATAGAATCTGTATTCAGAATTTATATTGTTTTCAAATGCACATAGAACATTTACCAAGATAGACTATGAGACATTCTGCTCCCAGGTTCCCTCTATCCCAGTTCATACAGGGTTCCCTGGGTGAACTGGCACGAAAAGCATCATATGGCTGAGCTGAGGACTGTATCTGCTTGAAGACAAACAGGTTCTTGGGTTTTATAGAGCCTAATGAAGTGGACCCTTATTTTTCCAGGGGCCTCTACAGTATGTCTCCAGGAAGGGAGCACCTAGGAGACTAATTTAGGAAAAGAAACAGAAGAGACAGAATTTTCTGGCATTGGAGTCAGACAAACCTGAATTGCAGTTCTAGATGTGGAAAATTACTTAACCTCTAAACTTACATCATTTCATCTATAAAATGCATATGACAGTGTCCCCAAAGGGCCCATATGAAGCTCAAATGAGATAATACAGTTAAAGGGCCTCATAAACTATTTGTCCCTGTGCAAACACACGCCATTGTTATTGTGAGGATGATTGCTTCCTGTATGGCCAAAGAGGCTAGTGGATTTCCTGTACATGGAGCGTGCATCTGCTCAGACTCTGGCTGCTTTGTTGGGTCCCAGAGAAGCCAAGCTGAATTTCTGCCTTCATCCAAACAGTTTACTTTGTAACTTGGCCCTGCTTCAGCTTGGGCTAGCATCGAACAGGGACTGTCCAGGAAGTTCTGCCTGGCTAATCTGGACCTACTGAGATAAGGGGCTGGAAAATCATTATCTGGATCCAGTATATCATAGAAAAGGGTTTCTCAGTTCTCGTCTCTTGGCTCCAGCTTTTGAGCTGCCCCATCCCACTTCTATCTTCATCTTTCTCTGCTTTCTGTTTCCTGTCTCTGCTCCCCCACTTTTCATGCTGATAGATGTGCTCTTGCGTAGGCTCTGGCCTAGGCTGTGCCTGGTTGGACCATCAATCATTTATTTAGCCCACCACCTAGTGTCTTTGCAGCTGGCCCTAAGAGTATAGGCTATCTGAATAATTTGCCTCTCTAATTTTTCCCAGATTCAGGATCACAGAGCAGTTTGCAGGAGAGTCCCGGGCTTGGTGCAAGTTGTACAGGGGAAAAGAGGGCAATATTGGTACCTCTTCTCAACCCCCCAAAACTGACACATATCCTGAAAAACATGGACACACTAACATGTACACATTCTACATGTACATTATGGACATACACAGAGACATGCATATTGATGTGACACACACACACACACACACATGCACAAGCATACTTACACAAATACCTTAGGTCAGAAGGTTTATATGGGGTAGGGAATTGGCTCTGATTCTCTTTTACTCCCAAAAGTCTGAGACAGACATATAAAAACTTTACATAAAGAAGGACTTGGAATTCTGAGAGATTTGCCCTTTCTGTCTTTGATGACTCTTTTCATTACTGAGGTCACAAAAGTTGCCTTGTGTTGAATGTGCCTCTGTGTTCAGTACTGCCTTAGCCCCTTTGTATATGCCATCTCATGGAATCTCACCATAGCTCAATGCAACCAGAATATTCTAGGCCTCACCAGAATATAGGTTCAAAAGAAGCCTTTATTTATTATTTATTTATTTATTTCCTCACCTGATGACATTTTTTCATTTTTGTTCAGATAGAGTGGGAGGAGGAGAGAGGAAAAGAGAAACATCGACATGAAAGGGACACATCGAGTGGCTGTCTCCCGCACAACCCCAACCAAGACCAGAGACAATCGCAACCGAGATACTTGCCCTTGACCGGAATTGAAGCTGCGACTCATTGATCTGTGGGCCGATGCTCTAACCGCTGAGCCAAACCGGGAAGGGCAAAAAGAAGTCATCTTAATATTAATGTCCATTCACAGTGGTTCTTAGCCCCCATTTGCCATTCAGGACCTCAGTGTCCCTCAAAAGTCTCCCCAGAGCCCTGGCCAGTTTGGCTCAGCAGTCAGAGTGTCGGCCTGTGAACCAGAGAGTCCTGGGTTCGGTTCCCACTAAGGGCACGTACGTAGGTTGCAGTTTGTCCCCAGCCCTGGTTGGAGTCGTGTGGGTGGCAACCAGTAGATGTGTCTCTCTCACATCGATGTTTCTCTCTCTTTCTTCTTCCCTCTCTCCCTCGCACTTTATCTAAAGATAAATGCAAAAATGTCCTCAGGTGAGGATAAAAAAAAAAAAAAGGTCTCCCCAGATATTCCAAGGAATACTCAGAGGCATCTCACAGGAATTGAGAGA